GAGGGGTGTAAGTTGAGGTTGGTATAAAATGACCTGTCATATTCGGATTTTAGTGTCGTCGAATTTCCGGCTGGCTGGGACGGCGAACAGACGTCCCAGTTTGTGTTTAGGGGGCGTTAGAAATCCGATAGACGAATCGCGGGAGATGAATGCCGGGATTTGATTCGTGGTTTGTCGCCAAATGTAGACGGCGTGTAAGTATTGAGCCGATCAGATCTGATACCGCTGGTTAGCGACAATAGTCGCGCCACACTAGATGACATTATTGGCGTGATCGACGAGGGAGGCATCTCAGACATGTCTTTTGACACTTTGGCGTCTCCATTCTTGACGAATGACGCACCCCAGGCTTGTATTGTATATGCATAGCTCAGCCATGGTCTCAGTTCTCGAGACAACCCCAAAGCTGAGGAATCACTCTGTTGAACCAATTGTCAAATTCGCCTATTGGTTACCAGCATCCGTTCAGCTGGAACACCAAACACAACTAACCCCCACAAATTGCGGCACAGGCGCGCCAACAATACGGCGCAGTCAATGAATTACATGGATAGTGTTTATGGTGTTTTCTTTTGTTCGCCAATTGTCCAGCTGACTTCAGGCATCGGTAGCCAAGAAGAGAAAATGCTCGAGGGAGACCACCAGAGGGCAGGCTAATGCCCAACGATTCGGCGGTCAGGCGAAGTATGTGGAGTTGAGCTTGATAAAGAGTGTCGGTTGCTTTCATCCGCTGCCTGCAGCGGAACAGACGGAACAGAAAGACCACAACAGCTGGAAGACACGGCGAGACTTGGAATCGCCGCGATCAAAAGGGGTTAATTAGGTTAAGCCCAGACAAGTCTAACTACACGGGAATGGATGTATCGAAAAGTCAGATGATACGAATGATGGAGGCGAGTTGATGCCCGATGCATGATACTTGATATGTTGAACTGGGGCGGTCTGAGAGGCGGATAGATGACAGACATCAAACGGCCCAATTCTCGCCTCCTGCAAACAATAGTACAGCTTTGGGAAGTGAACGTCAAAAGGGCGGTGTTTCAATTAGGCGTCGATGTCATTAGGCTCTAACGTGAGGGCATTCATGTATCTCTCGAGATGTTTCCTGTTGTTGCGATCTGTTTCCCTATTAGAGGAAGTTGCAGGGTCAGAGCGTCAGCTGCGATTCGACAAAAATGTTTCAGCCTCATTTGGATTGCGTTGCATCGCATCAGCGAGGGGCAACGTGATCGACATTAGGGCGTTCATAGCCGTTGGACCTCAAGGCTCAAGCCCCAAATCCTTCCATGATTGTGGCGAGTGAGTACGCGATCGAGGGATTGGGCTGATTTTGGGTAGGGCGACATGACCAGAGCGGTAATCTTGCGCCTTTTTGAAGCTATGTTAGGCATCGGCCAAGTCGAGCTCGATACTGGAGGGGGCAATTGTTGGTGATGGTTCACCAGCAAGTCAGGCGGGGCGCGGCAATTGGCTGGAGAATTCGGATGAAGCAGAAATGCAGCTAAAGCGAGACGATGACAAAAAGAAACGAATCATGGTTGTCAATGCGGATGCACCTCCACGCTTTGGGTCTACTAGAGTCGATTGCGTTACTGCACTGTAGAGTAAAGCTGGTCCGTAAGGGAAGAAGAAAAGTTGGATGTAAAGAAAAGAAAAGAAAAGAGAAGCGAGGGTATCCCCGCTCTTAAGAGGGCAAGTATAGGTAGGAGGGGTCCATCCAGCTCAGTTCAGTCCGCCTCGTTCTTTCCTCACTAAACCCGGCTGAGTTTGGGCAACTCGATAGGTAGGTAAGGTCCAAGGGAAGAGAGAGAATAGGGTGTAGGTACCTAGGTAAGTAAGTGAAAAGTCCGTTCGCGACTATTATCCAGTCTAACAAAGTCACCAGGTTTCGAGGACACGTCAGTAGAGTCGGGATTATCATCTGATCCTGCCTATCTTTGACTGGTCACGTCACTATTATTAGTGTTGCTAGAGAAAGAGTTTACTGGAGATAGACTGGACTCAACTCAATCAACTAGTAGATTTCGAAACAAAATGTTTATTTGGTTGGTAAAACACAACTGCCGACTGTGTTGCAGCTGACCAGTCATCTATCATTGTAACTGCAACCAACTGCATTGGATCCTGAGGGTTATACTAGTCGAAATACCTACCGTTGCTACCAATTGTCCATCTCTCGCATGCTTAAATCGAAACCCCTTGTGGAATTCGTGGCTCTGTCCTGGCAAGGATATGCTTGATATCTTTTGTTAGCACAGCGGAGCGGAACAGAGACTCCTCAGTAACATTCATAGAGGATATGCTGTGCCGTGTTACTCCCTCCTCCACTGAATGATGATCATCGAAACAGAGCAAAATCTAGATCTCCGGGAATCTCCCGAATGTAACTGAGCAATAAATAATGTCATCCCTTCCTTCCCAAGCCCAAGCCCAAGCCCAATGGTGATGATGATGTGTTGTTTGCTTTTTATGTCACTTTTCTTTTTTGGCTTCTTGTCATTCTCAGCCACGGTGGATTACATATCCTACTCCTTGTTAATGGATGTCCTGTCAAGCAGAACCTGGTACATAGCCCCCACTTGACTCGCGCAATCTTTCACAATCTACTAGGTAGTACTCACACACCCCCAAAGCCACTCACTGTCCATTGGCTCACAGCGACCGGGTAGGGCAGACGCCTCTTGTTTTGAGGTGCTTGTACCTGCATAAGAAGCCACTTTTGCGGGAAGACAACCGACTCGACTTTGTACCTGGTACGTATTCCCCCTTCGTTTCGCTATGACACTGTTGCATCTACCTTATGCACATGAAAACGCAAATGCAAATGCAGATGCGAATGCGCCTCTCTCTTGCAGCGAAGCTCGGCTCAGCTTCACAAAGCGCCCAACTTTGACAGGCCAGACAGACTAGAGAGATTTTCTTTTGCCAGCGGAGAAAACTGGACTTGGCTGGCTGACAATGTTTCTTCTTGTGTTTCAGGGACTCAAGAGGAAAGTCGTCATGCATGAGTGCATATGTGTGTGTGAGAGATGCATTAGACTGTGCCTCTCCTGTGTAACCAACCTCGTCCTTCATAAATGCGGCCTACGATTAACAGAGACGCACGGGACATGTCGGTGAACTCAACAAAGTCACCGAGTTATCTGTCGGTGAGTCGATGTGTTGTTGGCGGCACTGCACTCATTGCCATGAGGAAAGAAGCTCAATATGAAAACAAACCAGGGCGATCAGTGAAAGGAACTGTCGGATTGGTAATTATTTAGCGTTCGAATACGCCATTTGAAGTCGACCTCCACAGCGCCAGCCACTCCCGTGTGTACGTCAACAACATCAACAACAGGGAACATACCTCAGACAGATAACATCCACAGTCGGAGACATGCCCAAGAAAACCACATTCAGTAAAGCTACTATTCACTGTTCGAGATAGATCTGTCGATAACCCACTTGGAACAGAAGCTCAGGTACCAAAAAGCACTCGCCTAACCGTCCGTCAAAATCTCAGCCATCATCATTCCCCCCCCCCCCCTTATACCTAGGAGGTACTGCACATTCAATGTTGTCACTGAAGAATAGCCAGCCTATAATATTCGCAGGGATCAAATTCAGCCCGCTTTCTCTCGCAAGCAATACCCTTCAGGAATAACCCCGATGGCAACTCCCGTTTCTTCAACTAGGTACGGACGGATACTACAGTAGAGTAGAGTAAGGTAGGTAACTAATTAATCAACCCCTGGCCTGGTATTGATCCTCCCCTGTTTTGTCGCTTGTCCTGTCTTGTCAGGTCCTGTCCTTCAAATTCTTAGGGCGGCCCCTCTCACTTACATGGGTATCTTGTCAATTTTCTAAACGAGGCGCCATCACATCCATTCCCATATCCATCTATCGATCTGTTTGTCAATCCTCTCCTTGGTTAGTTAATAACATTGCGGGGGCCAAGCTCCTAGAGTCTACGTACCTCACCAGCCTATCTACCTATCAACTGTACTGTATATGCTACGGATGCTAATCCATTCTATTGGGGCCAATTGTAAGCTGGCAACATTGGGCAGAAATCATCACACCGTAAAGTTCTCCCTGATACGGCCGTGGCTATGCCAATTCTTTCACCTTCACAATTTTAATGCCTGATCAAAGCACTCCTCAGTAGTAGTACAATTCTATCAGTTTCTATCCAAACATGCGTCTCATCCTGGTATTCCCATTCATCTAACATAGCTGGCAAGCCCGCGAGGTTCTTCCAGTTCCACTCTTTTCGCCCACCCTCCTAAATGCTGTAAACCCATGACCGCAGCCTTTCTCTAACTCAAAGCAAGGCTCGGTAATAATAGTACAGTGCTGCCAAGTCTATCTTGGAAGCCTGACGAGAAAAGAAGAAGAGAAAGAGACAATATGAAACCCTGCCCAACCCTGCCCAACCCAGACCTGACCTTTGCTCCAACCACAGCAAGGCACCTTGATGCAAGTCTGAACGCCTTTCTCCCGAAATCATTATCCACGCGCCCTTCGGTGTCAAATCCATATCCATTTGCCTCTGCAATGACCAGCAATGTATCCCATACCCGTATAATACATAGAGTATTGACCATACCCTCTTTTCCATTGACCCCGCGATGCAATCATGATTGTAGCAATCCTATGTCTTCGTACACTACCAGCAAACGGTGGGAGAAAATCTGGCAAAAACAACATAAAAGGAAACTCGTGAACAGCCCGTTGGGCTTACCATACATGACATCMCCCGAGCCGTAAAATGCGAGTGACAAGGGGGTAAGCATAATACCCAACAAAACGATCGATATATCGATGTGTAAAAAGAAAGCAGTTGCGAAGCGTAACGAAAACAGCGGGTTCCTTGTTGCAGCTGGCGCTCAACACAATGACACCATGCAGGCATTAGGCCGTGATGCCTAACTTTGAACGCGAATTTCGGTGTCAAAAAAAGGGTCATGTGTGTGTGTGTGTGTGTGTGAGACATCTGTTTGAGTACTTGTGCAGTCTTAACTGTGCACGTTATCGGTTGCCGCTGTCACTGCCTTCTTCCGAAGCATCGTATAAGTCCAGACAGTCTTCGAGAACTGCATGCACATGTTAGCGAATCCAGTCAAACTCTCGGGGCGGGACTGCAGTTGCTCACCAGCAGTTATTTGATCCTCCCATACTCCATATTGATAGTCCACCAAGCCATGACGCTCTATACCGTCACAAAGCCTTATTAGTTCGTTTCCCATCTTTTTAATCATGGCCTTTGAAACCAGACTTTGCGTCCTCGAAAGTTGTTGGGATGAAGTCATTAGGTCAATTTGGCGCTGGCCCAATCCGAGCCAAGCGTGGTTGAAGTCGTTCCACAGCTGAATACGATCAGCATGAAGGTTGGTATCGTCAAGGTTAAGACCTGGGCACCCACAGTAGTTAGTTCTGGCTTTCTTATGTTCCCCTCTGCGGTTCCATAGACAGTGTAGTACATACCTAGATCTGCGACCTGAGACAAGAGCCAGCTAGTGACGCTAAGCAATGTCTCAGATGCACTCTCAAGAGATCCATTCACTATCTCCTGAAATATGCTCCCTAGCTGCCTCTGGTAACTGACCCATTTCTCTTCGAGGGCGCCTTCCGCATAGTCGTGGTCGTCTGTCATTGATACATCGGCGGTGTTTGCTGCCTGTGGCATTGCGCTCACACTGGACATGCTGTTGCTCGCATAATTCATGGCATTGCTTTGCTGATAAACATTCGCGGATCCGCTTGAGCCCTGCGCCGGTTGCTGTAGACTCGGGCCAGCTGAGGCCCCAGCCTCGGACCCAAAGTAGCTCGAGGCGACGTCTGGTGGCATCATTTGCATAGCTGCAGGTTGCCGCGAGCTGAATTGCTGCGCATCGTAAACCGTGTTTTGCGTACTCGGTTGGCCAACGTTATACATCATCGTAGTTGCGGTGCTGTAGCCGCCAAAACCTTGTGTTTGGCGGGAGTCGTGGCCGTACTCAGGGCCATAAGCTATAGCTGTGCCAGGCATATTTGCCGTCGAGAATGATGCACTGGGTTCTGAATAGTAGTTACTGTAGTTACCCGGAGCTCCCATGCCTCGCCCTGATGATGAAGGGCCAGCAAGGGATGCAGGGCGATATCTGTCGTTGGAAATTCCAGCGAGCGAACGGCGCTGTTGTGACGGGTCGTTGAGTGAGTATCTCTGATTGGGGTTCGAATGGACCGGCGGTTCATTCTGCCTCCTCATACGGTTCGAGTCGTCCATGCCCCGAAGACCTTCGATGCCACACGACCCTGCTGTCGGTCCCAGCTGATGGGTGGTCGGCAACGCTGGTGACTGTATAGCAGCCAGTTTCGCTGATCCGGAATAGTTACACAATACACGGTGCTGAATCAACAGTGAGGAAAGGATATCCTTTTTAAAACAAGGTGATGTGGTTGCAAATATGTGACGGAACAGTGTTGTTGATAGTGCTGGAGGGGTCACCGCGGGGTTGCTGAAGCAGTGAAGTCCACAGTGGGAGTAGTCGCGATGATCGATAGTCGGGGGGTGTGGTGAGGCAGGGAATGGATGGCTAGCTGGGTAAGATAGTAGTCGAGTTGAGAGATCAAACGGCTCTGCAAGCAGGGTGCCGCTGGCCTATTATTCGCAAACAAAACCCAGCGGTTTACTGATCAGGCAAGAGAGCTGATGGCTCAGCCGGGGATCTGGGTAGCAACGTAGTTTATCAAGTCGACTCCCAATCGTAAGCTAGAGCCTAGCGCGTTCATGCCCGGTAGAGGCTGGACGTCGAAAAGATGACGAAGAACAAGGCGTTAGTTAGGTCTAAGTAGCTTTGTCTGGGGCTTTGGGGCCCAGGGCTGATTTGCGGATGAGTTGTCAAACGGTTGTCTCGCCGTCAACTAGGAGGATCCTGGCCAAGACCCCATGTAAGAGACCTTGAGCATGACAAGCTCGAGCCCACTGCGATCTGCTGGGGCCACTACAATGCACCAGGGTCTCAATGAGGGACCAAGTAGATGTTCTAAGAAAAAAGCTTTCACTAAGCCGGTACGGGCGTACGATTCCGCCGAATCGGTGTGGTGACAGTCTTTTGGTCACGTTGAAGGAGGATATGGCTGAGAGCAGCTAACAAAAACGAGGATGTATGTATGATCGAAGGGTCAACAGTGGGGCACGGGAATAGACGTGAGTCGCGGAGATGACGAAATTCATCAATAGCAAACAGAGGATAGCCACGGGATCTATATAGCATACTCACACAGAGAGCATTGCACTCGCTGAAGGGCACTCTGATTTGTTTGGGGTCCACCATTGGAGGCAGGGGCAATGTGACTGATGAGACTCACAGTGGACTCGGAAGGGGTTTCGATGAGAAGGGAGGGGGGTGTAACAGTAGACCAGATGTGAGGGACAAGCAGACCAAGTGAGGCGTATCGTTTTAGACTACTGGCTAAAGACGCTGTGTGAATGGCGTCAGGACAGCCGACATACATGTTAAGCCTATGGAGAAATCCAAGATTGAGGCAAGACGAATGCTCCCGTGTGTAACCCGAGCATTTAATTGAATGGGCAAGAAGCATTGTATGCTTCAGCTTCATCCCCAGAAAGGGATATGATCCAAGGAAGATCTGAGGCAAGGTGAGAAACGGAACTGAGTGGCCCAAAACACTCTAAAGGGAAATCAAGCCCAGGAAGAAACGCCAGCAATTGCGGCTACAATGATACGTAGCCTGGAAGCAACAGATCCATTCAACAAAGAGGGCTCATGAGAACGGGTTTGGAAATTGTGGAAGGATCGGCGTCGTCCTTCTCCATCCACCACGTAACCAGCCTAGGGCACCACCCCTGGCCCAGTACCTTGGTAAGAGGCGCCAGGAAGATTGGAGGGGAGTGATACCTATCGAAGTGGCTTGCCTGGGCGTGAATTGAGCGGATGGAGGGTGTAGCGTCTGGGATCCTGGGGCGCCATGGGTGCTTTGCGCAAGTACCGGACCGCTTTTTGAGCCGTGGCCCTAGTAAACATCCGGTAGTCATCGCAATTGCTCATGCTGGGCGCTGAACAGCGGCTTCTCCTGCTTTCCATCCAGTAGGTAGTGACTAAATGTTGGAATCCTGTTCTGCTTTTTTCTTCGTCAGAAGAAGCTGGGTATCAATGCATTAGATAAGAAAAGCAGTGGTCCCAAGACTGTTGTGGCTGCTTTTTCCCATCCCGTTCCCAACAGGCACTTTACTAACCTTCATATCTCCAGAGTTAGGTAGCCGCCAAAATAGTTTCACGCCTTGCGTTTTAGGGCTGCACCTCTTGAAGCTCCAGTGAAACTACCAGTGCTCAATTGAGATTTTATGGCTCATTCTTTGAAGTGGGCTAATGCCAGAAAAAACTTGACACGAGACCCGCCAGCCGCAGTTTGAACATCCATGGTGATATTTTCGTAAATTGCAAGACGCTCAACCTCTCTTGTTTGAGATACTTGTCACTGTTAGTCCAAGAAACTCATATCTCAGTCCATAAATTTCGTAAAATACCATGGCTTAGATACAAAGGAGACGGGCCACTGCACGGTGAACAAAGACAATTGACAAGATGTGTGGGTAGTTCCTAATCATGGTTAAGTGGCTCAGAAAGAATTAAGCAGATCTGATCGTGTGAAAAATGGCCACTATAGCCAAACAAGGCCAAGCGGTCGAAAGAGCCTGTCTGTCAAATATTGAAGGCTGCTTCCCCGAATGGGGGACAAATGCCAGCCGAAGTTGATGCATCGATTATTGTCTTGGAATATGCTTATGATCGTGCTATTATGCAGGGGATGATTCGCAAAAATAAAAATAAAATAAAATAAAAAATAAAAAAGTCGAAATGTTCTCATATTGGTCTTAGACCTGAGCAATATTAGCTGTCTGCTGGGTTTTCCTGCCATTTTTGGCCGCCCTACACAAACCATCGTCGGTAGGTTGATTTGACACTTACGTGTCTGTAGCAACCAGGACTGGGGACTTGAGGGTGACAAGAAAAGCAACGACAGGCTATTGCAAGGGCTAAAAGTCGCAGGAAAAGAAAAGAAAAGCAACACAGAGCCTAATCGAGCCATGGCGCTGGTCCACAGTCCACAGATGGAGGTGGTTCCAGGTGAGGAAGCCGGAAAGAAACGCTGGCCAATCGACAGAGGAGGGCGATATCAACTAAAATCCTTGTTGGAGTTGAGATGCTCGTGCTTCGGACACAACGCGCTTGTTGCTTAGATTGGAGGTAGCTTGACCCTCGCGCCAGCCGTCCGGAGAGGGCGATATTGTTATGGAACGTGCCAACAATGCTTGAGCTCAGCTTGCTTGGGTTCAATTTAATGCTTCAGACCAACCAGCGTGAATGCGAGCCCCTGGTGGGCATGGCATGTTGCTAATAGGGGCTGGCGAATTATCCGGATTTTCGGAGACGTTCATGGCGTCGGGAAAACACTCAGTTTTGAGCATACTTTGAAGGTTTAATGATGCGGACTTAGATCGGGTTTTAGAATGGCATATGTCGTGAGGAGCTGTTCGGACCTTGATCCTGGTTGGCTTGCGTGAGGAAGATAACAGTCCGGCGATGTCGATTCAAAGAGCAGAAGTCAGGGAGTTTCCGTGGTTGGTCAATGGCTCGAGGAAAGCGGAAATTTTTCTCGTAAGGACTGGGGTAGGCGTTGGTCAGGGCACCTGCCAGCGACCGATGCTTCGGATACAGTGGGTAAATGCCAACATTTTGGAAATGAGACAAAAAATAGGCTTCGTCAGCACGATCTAAGGGTCTAACGTTAGATACTAGACTCTCCCATTGATCGTCTGTGTCACGAGCAAGACTGCAACGAGGCTGGTAATCACGTACCATCTTAGTGGTCGAGTTTGCTTCGTGGAAGTGGCGATTCCAGCTGTGGTGTTTGAGGGGAAAGTGCATGTGATCTTCACTTTTGGCTGAAAGTTGGCGATTAAGGTCAGCCTCAGATTCGTTGCCTTGATTCCCGCAACCTCTGTACAACTACGGATACGGGAGGATCTTTATTTATTAGTATCAGGTAAACACCTACATACTCCGTAGAACGGTTCAGATTGCCTTAACCAGCCACACTTTAAATGGCAACATCGATTTTACCTGTTTCCCCCATATCTTGCTTTTAGGCTTAAATCTTTCAACATCAACAGCGTCACTGTCTATATTGGTAGGTAGACGACGGCACTCGGACACAAATATCATACCCATCATTTATTGTTTTTTCACGCAGGCATTACCCGTACATTTACAAGAGAACCATTGTTGTCTCTTTTTCCTGTTCCATGGGTTTCCTGTCGTTAGCTACCCTGCATCAACATCTTCAACGGCTGCAGGTGCCTTGATAAAACTGTCAACCAAGGTCCAAGGGTCATCACCGAGATCTCCCACCATCCGGCCGACCCCACATCAAGTACCGGTACCTGAATGACCAGGATACTTGCTGAAGCGCACTAGTTGACGCGCATATCGGATCATGTTTCGCGCGTCTAGAACTGCAAAAGGCAACGCGCATCAGCCACGCATGAGAATATGCCTTTAGTTTGGCTGGGCAGCTGGGGTTTGAGGGGGCGACGATAGTGATGCTGGACTCGAAGCCCAATCATAATACTGCCCAGACACCAATTGACTAACAAAGGTACCTCGCTCCGTGGATCACAGCCCTGCTCGCCTTGCATATTCACTATCCAAGCATAGCAACCAGAAGTTGGAGAAAGGCATTCGGGGAGCCTTCTTGTGAATGTTGTGCATATGCTGCAACTATTGTGTTATGCTGATCAACACACATATATGCATGCCAAATTAGTTTGATCGAAGAATTAAAGACGATCTCAGCCTCGTCTAAAAGCCGTTGGCCGTTAACTTTCCCTCAACTCTGGGAACGAGATGAGATTGGAGATTGTCCAGATACACCGCATGTATCCAGTACAGAGTGCCGCAACGGCACCGATTTTCAGGCAACAGGGGTCTCTATCCACTCGTGGCTGCGTCCGCCCCAAAAGCCTCCGACCTCAAACCGCCGTCTGTCCATGCTTAACGCTCTCCACCTCCACCATGATGAGAGCGATTTCTGGATATTATTCATCACTACTAACTCTAGCTGGATCCGCGTTGGCACGGGCTAAGTGGCGGCCTCAATCTTGAGTTCGACGAGGATACCGCGTGATGTTGGCTATCACTACACCGAGAACTCTGGGTCTCCTATGCCATCATTCTGCTAAGGTTCAACAGTTATCCAAGG